TTCTTCTTTCCATGTACTTGATGACAAAGTGTTAGGGTCTCCTCTGAAGATCTCTTTTCTCTCTAGGCACAAGGCCAAGAGACCATGGGTTCGTGTTTAGCAATAGCAATAGCATGTAGACTTATATACTGCTTCACAGTGCTTTACAGCCTTCTCTGAGTGGTTTATAGAATCAGCATATTGCTCCCAACAATCTGGGCCCTCATTTTACTGACCCCCGAAGGATAGAAGGCTGAGTCAACCTTGAGCCAGTCAGGATCAAATTCCTGGCAGTGGGCAAAGTTAACCTGCAATATTGCATTCTAACCACTGTGCCACCAAGTTTATGAGTGTTTTAGAGTTAATTGTCTAATTGCTAATATAAAATAAAAATGATTTTTATGGATTTGTTATTTTGATATTTTTAGTCCTAAATAAGTTGTGCAGAGTCATTTGATTAGGAGGAAGCCTTAAAAATCAAATGAATAAATCAATCTATGTACATCTTCACTCTGAGCTGTGAAATCAATTGGTGGATCCTCTAACATTCTTCATGCATTTCCATTCCACGTGACACATGTTGTCAACCGTCCCATTTGGCACATCCAAGAAAAGAAACTCCTGGCACGTAGGAACTACCAAGAGTAAAGCTTTATGGAAAAATCCATTTAGGCACAGCTTAAGCAAAGTCAACTCTGAGGCTTTTCTCTGAAAACCCACATGGGTAAAACACCCTTTTCACCTCTGCGCCGCCCACAGTTCATTGTCCATCAATTACACTCAGTGCTTTTATTTTGGAAAAACATTCTGCTCTAAGTAGTAGCTCAGAGAACTTGGCCTTGGTGGGTATCTCCTCTCTGGCAGCAGAAGGCTCTCATGCATTCCTTAGCCTCCCCCCATCCTAGGAATTTACCACCCCCCTCCTTGCCCGTTTCTGTTTGGCAAATTGCAAGCTGGAAGTTGATGCAGGCAATGAAGAAAGCAAGTCAGCTTTGCAATGTGTGCTCCTTGTAGATTTCCTAGGAATAAATTTTAGAAAGGGGGAAAATAAAAATATCTTTTCTTCTTGGGCTTTAAAACCACCTAATTCTAACTGGGGTGATAAAGATATCCTTGTTGGTGTTCTGTGTTGTGAGAATTTTGTTGTTTTGTCATGATGGGGCTGGATAAACTATGAAACTTGTAAATAGAAGATAATTGAGGGCTTGTTTCTCATTTACGGTCCAATGAATGAGCAGAAAATCTGATCTAGTTTCTTACCTGATTACTTTCTCCCTACAGCCCAAATTGTAACTCTTTGGTTTTGTATAACCGTAATACTAAGTTCAGCTATCAAGCCATTTCTGAAGTTGAATTTTCAGTATAGCCCCATTAGACTACTGTACTTGAGGAACTGAACACAACCTCTTGCTTTATTAGGCTCTGGAAGCACCCTCCTCCTAGGCCCATGAAGCAGTCTAACTTTCAAAATCAAGCAAAGAAAAGATACATAAATACACACCCATTTAATTGATCTGACCTTCCATCTTAAATATTGTCCAGCAGCTGCCCATAGGACAACCCCATTTACTCCCCCGTGTACTGTTGGAGAATCTAACACTGACTTAGAAGTGTAGAACTGTGTACTCAAGCAGCTCCCCACTGTCAAGGAAAGTATTTTTCTCAATACTTTTCTGTGAGGTAGGTTAGGCTGAAAAATACGGACTGCTCTAAAATCAAACAATGAGTTTCCATGGCTCATGGCAGATTAGTGCAAAAGAGAATCTTCTAGGTGTCAGTACAAGATTCTCCTTCCTCTCCTTTTACTTGGTTTCCCCTATGGGCTTTCCAGTAGCTGGATTAGCTGGACCACACCAGCATTCCAGCTACAAAGGAAGAACACATTCTGGTAGGTATATGTGAAGTAGCTGAACACCTGCTGTGATATGCCGTAAAGCTGGAAAAGGCAGAAAGTGTGAACCATTTGTATTCCTGGGAAGATCATCTTTGCTCTAAGGTAGTGTAACAGACTCTTAGAAATCGAGCAAAGCAATTCTCCAGCTCAATTCATAACTGGGGTAAATTAAATGTAGTTACTCAGAGTATCTTTCTGTTGTTTTCCCAGGGGACTCAAGAATCTTTTTGCAGCAGACCTATTTCCCATTACATATCCATTACATATAGTCCTCGACATACGACCACAACTGAGCCCAAAATTTATGTTGCTAAGGGAGACATTTGTTAAGTGAGTTTTGCCCCATTTTACAACCTTTCTTGTCACAATTGTTAAGTGAATCACTACAGTTGTTAAGTTAGTAATATGGTTGTTAAGTGAATCTGGCTTTCTCATTGACTTTGCTTGTCAGAAGGTCGTAAAAGATGATTACATGACCCCAGGTACACTGCAACTGTCATAAATATGAGTCGGTTGCGAAGGTCTGAATTTTGATCATGGGATGAAGGGGATGCTGCAATGATTATAAGTGTGAGAAACCATCATGTCACAAATTATAACGGTTGTATGTTGAAGATTACCTGTATTATATATATGTGAAACACAAACACACACACACATAAATGTTTAATATATAAGTGTTTAATATTAAATATAATAATTATATTGCATCATATTTAATATTATATATTAAGCATATATAATATATGTTAAAATTAAATACAATAATATACACAATATATATTAAAGTTTTTTCTTAATATAACAGTCAGAAATAATTGCTTTTTGTTTCTTTTTATTCCCCCCCTTTATTCAATCTATACTCTTTCCTATCCCATTTTTCCATTGTCTGTTTTCCCCCTTAACTATCTTGCTGTCTCCCCCGTGTTCCCATAGTCTGTTCGGCATTCTGCCAGGTGTATATTGAATTCTCCATAGATGGTACCATAATCAGCCCAGAAGGATGAACAAGTTATGATAGAATCATCTACATTGACCTTCTTACCAGGCTTGAACTGCATGGACATCAAGAAGCAGCAGTTAAAAGTAAAACCAAACAAACTTCATTTTAAACATTTCTTTATTTCAATAATTTATAAGGCCACTCCGTTCATTCTATTAATTCTGAGTGTTATACAACAAAAATAAAAAAATCAGAAAAAATGATAAATTATTAAAAGATAGCAAGTTTCTTGTGGGAAAATAAGAGAAGGAAAGATTATTATATGTGTTCTCTACCTTGAATTATTTATAAAAATAATAAAGGTGGGATAAAATAAATAAAATTATATATATATTTTCTTTCCTCACATACAACTGATTGCTTAACCAAACTCTAGTTTAGTTTAAGTAGTCTAAGACACTTTTGAGTCTGAAGAGTATCACAGCCTCTCTAGAGACTGTGAAGGATGCTAAGATGTTCTCCAAGCACCCAGAGCCTGGAGAGATGAGGTTTGTGCTGTGGGGAAAGACACCTCTGCTTGGATATGCATATAAACCAGACATTTCATGATACCAGTTCATGTATTTGATAGGGAGCTTCAGGGTAAGAATGTTTTTGCTTTGGGAAATGATGTAATGATGTGATAGCTGTCTCCCTCACTGGCCTTAACTCTTCTATGGACCTTGAATTCTGGAATTGTTTTGACTCTCCGAGGTTCTTGGCAGTCTGCTCATCCCTGTGTCCATTGATTTTATACACATTTTGTATAGTGATACAGCGTCCCTATTGGTTGAGGCTTAGAGTATTTCTAAGAAAAGCCTTTGTTCTGAAGATGAAAAAGAGCTTTGAAAGGAGAAGAGATGATGCTTCATCAGTGGCTCAGGCATCCAACAAGCAGGATTCTGTATAGTGAATTCAAAATTACAGAGTAGGAATTCTGTCTATAAAAAAGAGCCTGACAGGAGCTAGAGCTAAACTAAACTTGGATTTCATATGGACTGTGCAGGGGCTTCCTTTCTGTTTATTCTACAAAAAGCAAACAGTGGCCCAAATCAGACAGGGATCCCCAGGAGTCTCCATTCTCATTAAAATGATCAGGTATTTAATTTTTTGGAATATGCATTACACTGTTTCTCAGATTAAACCAATACTTCATTTAATCCCTTGCATTGTAGAAAGTCTCATCTCTATTAATTTTAGGAAGTGGAGAGAAAAGAGAACATTACCAAGGTAATATTTATGAATGATTATTTAATAGCCCCCACAGTAGCATTTAAATGCCTATTAAAACAGGTGTTTATTAAATAAACTAGATAGCTTGATCATGTAGATTGAATTGTAAAAATGTGGAGAAGGTTTTGAACTTGAATTCAGAGACAAATAATTGGAAGGGCTAAATTCCTTCCTTCCTTCCTTCCTTCCTTCCTTCCTTCCTTCCTTCCTTCCTTCCTTCCTTCCTTCCTTCCTTCCTTCCTTCCTTCCTTCCTGTTTAAAAAAAGACAATGATATTCATACAGTTAATGGTATATGAAAAGTAAGAATGAATGATTACCATTTCCCACTATGGCTAATTTTTTTTCACTGTCCCCAATATATTTAAAAATCTGCTTCCAAACATACATTTAGCTTAAACATGTATCTAGTCAAACTACTTCTTCCAACTAAGTTTACATAATCTCTCCATCTACTCCAATCTTTGCATGTTTTGATGCAAAGCCTGATGCCCTTTGCATGTTTTGACTATTGCTCCCACTACCCACAACCATCATGCCAATGTAACTGGTGGAAAGGTAAAAAAATATAGCCCAGCATATTGGGCAGCAAGAAAGTGAGGCAGAAAAGTTTAAGTTTCACTTGTTGTTTGGAAGAATATTTTGGGTGAACTCAAAAAGAGATCTCAATTTGTTGTGAGTTTTTCCATCTAATTTTCTAAATAGACTCTTAAGAAGAATGCAAATTACATTTTGAGTAAAATTCACTCTACATTCTTCATAAATTTCCTTGCACTTCTATATAACTCAAACTCATGGTCATCCCTAGATTTGGAATCCACAAATTCCCTGAATCACTCATATGAATTATTCAAAAACGTTTGCTTTCTTCATCTTCCACATTTTCATTTTACCTTGCAGGTCTGGAAGGAAAATGACAGAGGAAAACAGCACCACAAAAATCAATGATTTTGTCTTTATAAGTTTCACCAACAAGCCTGTCTTGAAGATCACTCTATTTTTAGTGTTCCTGATCTTTTATATGGCTACATTGGTGGGCAATATAGGAATGATTTCTTTAATAAGGGCCAGCCCCCAACTTCACACTCCAATGTACTTCTTCCTCAGCAATCTGTCCTTTATAGATTCATTATTCTCCTCTGTGGTTGCCTGTAAGTCTTTGGCAAATCTTCTGGAAGATAAAAAATCCATTTCCTTTATTGGGTGTGCTATGCAGATGTACTTTGTCATAGGCCTGGGAAGTGCAGAGTGCTTTCTCCTTGCTGCAATGGCCTATGACCGATACGTGGCTATCTGCAAACCCTTGTTGTACCCACTCCTCATGTCACCCAGAGTCTGCATTCTTCTGATGGCAAGTTCCTATCTCCTGGGCTTTTTGCATTCCCTTCTCCATACTGTTTTCACTTTCAGATTGTCCTTCTGTCAATCTGAGATCAACCATGTATATTGTGACATCACAGCCCTTCTATTGCTCTCCTGTACTGACACTCACCTAAATGAACTTCTGATTTTTTATGTGGCTGGACTTGTAGAAGCAACTACTGTGCTGAGTGTTTTTCTTTCATATATGTATATTCTTGCCAACATTGTGAGGATCAACTCAGCTTCAGGCAGGTTGAAAGCCTTCTCCACTTGCACTTCACACCTAATTGCAGTTACCATCTTCCACGGAGCAATCCTTATTTTACATTTCCGACCAAAATCAAGTAGTGGATCTCCCATCCAAGATGTGAGTGACAAAATTCTTGCCGTCTTCTACACTATTATCATTCCCTTGCTGAACCCTTTGATTTACAGTCTGAGAAACAAGGAGGTGAAGGATGCCTTCAGATGCTCTTGGACAAGAGCATGGACACAATAAATACATATCTTTTTTAAAAAAACCAGCAGCTTTATTTATTCATCAGATTTTTATCCCACTTTTATTACTTTACAAGTAACTCAAGATGGTGAATATACATCCCTCCTCTTTTGCCCACAACTATCTTATGAGGGACAATAAGTGGCCAAAAGTCAACCAGCGGGCTTTCAGGCCTAAGGCGGGACTGGCACTCAGAGTCTCCTGATTTCTAGGCCAGTATCCTAACCACTACACCAAACTGGCTCTTTTTCCTGATTTTTTTGGGGAGGGGGGGCATTCTGTTGTAATTAAACTATAAGCAATTTCCCCCCAAATACAGAAATAAATGTTCTCAATACCTTTCTGTGACGTAGGTTGGGCTGAAAGACCCTGTCAGCTCTGAAGTCACATACTGAGCTTCTGTAGCTCATGGAAGATTTGCACCTAGGTTTTTTTGAGAAGGAAACTCTTCCAGGGGTCAGTACAAGGTTCCTGTTCCTCTCCTTTTAGATTTTTTCTCCCTCTGAGATTTCCAATAGTTGGATTAGCTGAACCACACCAGCATTTCAGCTACAAAGGAATAATACCTTCTGGTGGGTGTATGTGTATCAAGAGAAGAAACTGTATTTGTGTGTTGGAGAGCAAGAAAAATGAAGGCTGCAAGCATGAGAAAAGGAAAGTAACAGCAGGACAAAGGTAACTTGGTGAGATGATTGGAGCCAGGGTGCAAAATGCAATGGGTGATTGAAGGCAGGAAAAAGTGGAGCAGAGAGAGCAAAGTTTGCTGGCCATGCCAATTGCAACAACCTTTGGCCCCTCCCAGCCAAAGCCTGAGTGATTGAGAAAAAAGGAAATCCTAGCAGCTTCAGCTCAGATTTGAGATGTTGAAGGAAAAGTCTTCATCAGGGTTCAGTCCAAGCCAGGAATAAACAACATGGCGACTGCTTTAGAAAGAAGGTTGCAGTTTATTGAAGAGAGCCAGATAGAAAGATGGCTCTGGAAGAAAAGAGAGAGCACATGTAGGGAGTGGGTTTTTATACCCTCTTGGGCTCTTGAGGGTGTTTCCTGTTCGAGGCTTTGTATTTCCTGTGTCATGTACTTTGAACTGAGTCTGAGTGTGCCCCTTTGGCATCTGTGGGTTAATCCTATTATGTCCTGTCTTAGACTTTGGGTGGGGTATGTAGATTTTAGGTGTCTTTGTCTTCCTAAGCTTCTAGCTGGAGGGCTCCAACCTTCTTGAATGAATTATTTACATCTGCATTTCTACAGAGCTGGTTTCTGCTTGGGGGGAGGGAGACTTGGGGCTATTAAGAAAAATTGGGCATGCTTTTCTGCCTCTTTAACATCCTTTGAGGAAATATAATATTCTGTCCTTTTAATATTTCCTTCTCTGGGGGGGCTGACTTCCCACAGAGGCAATCCATATTTGGCTGAAAAACCTCAAAATGTCAACCAAACCTAGGTTTTAGTAAAATAAAAAATGAAATGAAATGGTATTATTAAATGTTTTATTGCAAATAATAGCTTATATCAATATCAGTTATTTATGGTATGATAAAGCAAACATGAGCATAGGTTTTTAAAAACCACTTTGTTAGACGTGCCATTATGAACTGTAGATGTAAATTCAGGCTATATCGGAAAATACATTTGAAGCTTCAGCACAAGAAGCATATCACAGAAGATAATTGATAACTAAACACAAATGGTTAATTTTTGGTGACATTAGAATTTTCTCAAGGAGAATGCAGAATGAAGTGAAAAGAAGATTTGGCATAGAAGGATATACTTGTTAGTGGTTTTCCTATGTGCTAGAGAAATTTAATGAAGATAAAAGAACTTTTGGTTTTGAATATTGAGAGACTGAATATGAAACAGAACTGTGTACAAATGATGAACATGTTATTGTGATTTTTACTAAAATAACAGTGCAAATAAACAAGGAACAGACAAAAAACAAGGGTAAGTATGTTTGATAAAATGGGCTGAAATTGGTTACAATATACAAAGGGAATAATGGGAGATTGTTGTGGATGTAATGTGAAGACATTTCCAGGTTTTGTTACAACCTTAAAGATAATTTTTATAAAATGATGTATTGTAAAATGTATAAAGGTATTTCAAATTTAGGCTGGAAATGTATACAACAAGAGGGAGTTTCTACCATACTTATTGGATGCTTAAAAATGGATTCAGTTACATACATTGATTTAGAAGATTTTACAGATTAATATACAATTGAAGCCAGAGGTAGTTCTTTTGGACTGTGAGAAAAAGTGAGAATTTTGTTTTCATATATGATAACTGCAGTGAGACTATTTGTTAAATGTTTTCTAGTTCTTTTTTACTTTTATTATATCATAAGCTACCCTGAGCAGCTGCATCAGTGAGATGCATGACATAGAGAAAGAAGAAAGAAAGAAAGAAAGAAAGAAAGAAAGAAAGAAAGAAAGAAAGAAAGAAAAAGAAAGAAAGAAAGAAAGAAAGAAAGAAAGAAAGAAAGAAGAGATGCACAATGGTGGAAAGATTTGACATTACCCACAATGGAGGAATAGAGGGTGAAGATAATGGAACTAGCTGACATGGCTAAATTGAAAGCTGTGATTAAAGGAAATATGCTAACTAGGTTTATGCTGACTGGAACCCCCTTTTGGACTTTTTGCGTGAAGCAAAAAAAATGAACTTATAATGTTGCATATGATTTTTATAATTAGAAAAAAGTAGAAGGCTATATTAAAAAAAAAGTTGTAGCCATAAAACAAGAGGTTAAGTTACAGTTATACTTATAACTACTGTAAAAGAAAATGGGAAGTTACTTCTTTATCCTTTTCCCATTTTTCCTGCATTTTTGCCTTTCCTTTCCCCTTCTTCTTTATTTTCTATTCTAAATATTATTTTTTGTTAGATTTTTCTTTCTTCTTTAGAACTCTAGTAAAGTTATTATTAATTAATAAACAAAATTTAAAAATAGAGACATACATATATCAAATTAGTCATGGATGTTTAGATTTGGGCTTTTAGAATTCTGGTGTAAAAATGATATATGCACAAAGTGCTGCCATTTCCTGCTTTTCACAATTGATGGGAAAATAAGCAAAAGAAAGATGGGACAAAAAAAGTATCTGAGATAGCAGAGGCAGCTGCTGTGTTGTCCTGTGAAGCTGGCAAGGTCAGGAAGTTTGAACCATTTGTATTCCTGGGGAGATCATTGCTCTAGGGCACAGGTGTCAAACTCGCCATGTCACGTGATGTGTCGCGACGTACTGCAATTTGCCGGAGCTAGGGTGGGCGTGGCCTCCGTATGATGCAACCGGCCCCCGCGCCAGCAGTTTGACACCCCTGCTCTAGGATAATGCAACAGAGTCTTGAAAACCTAGCAGAGCAATTCTCCCTAAGGAGAGCATCTCTGTGATGGCTAGTTCTTACATAATCAAAAGTAAGAACTTGATGCTACATCAGGCCTTTACAAAAAAAAAATCTTGTATTTCCCATCCAGAATAAAGTTACTTCTAGTTTACTTTTGGAGAAGGTAGAAGTAAGCGACTGTAAGCAGAATAAGTCATTTATTATAAATAAAGCTTCCATTTGATGTGTAATACTTGCTGAAATTCTTTTGAAGCCTTTTAAAGCCTTTTGTGGGAAGTTTAATGTCACAAAATGATGGTCTACAACAGTGGTGGCGAACCTATGGCACAGGTGCCAGAGGCGGCATTCAGAGCCCTCTCTGTGGGCACGGGCGCCGTTGCCCCAGTCCTAGGCCTTCAGCTGGGTTTTATAAAACCTTTTCGCTTTAGGCTTCCACCACCGTGTGCAAAAAAAAAGGTTCAATCAATCAATTTCAACTCGCAGGAAAAAAAAAGATCTTGCAAAGTTGGAATTGATTGATTGAACTTTTTAGTTCCACCCAGTCTGCCATTACCATTGGAGCCATGGCCACCCAATGGGCCACACCCAGCCAATGGGCCACACCCACCCAGCACCCGACGATGCATAAGTGGGTTTTGGGTTGTAGTTTGGGCACTCGGTCTCTAAAAGGTTCGCCATCACTGGTCTACAATGTTGTCCATCAAAAAACCAAGATGGGCATTCTGTTTTCTTCTTATTTTGCCTACAAATTTCTGCCCTATGAGACTGCTGATCAGTAAAATGAGGAAGAATATTGTAGATTTGACTTAGTAAAGTCAGAAGTCAATTAGGAGCACCATTCCCAGAGGTTTAAAAATAAACAAACCCAAAACTTTCCTGATATAATCATCATTTGGGAATCCCTTGTTTTAAGAGGCTAAGAGAAGATGTCTGTCTCCAGCCTGCAAAACAAAATAATCTGTATTTTTTTGCACCTAAACAAAGTGAGTATGGATTTGCTGTTCTGCCTGTTGGCATACAGAAATCAGTTTTAGCAAACTGATGAGTTTTTTTATGTACAAAGGGAAGTTATGAGCAATATATATTTCAATTCATTTTTTTCCTTTTAAATAGGAGAAAATGGCATTCTCATATGAAAGCCAAATTTCCAGCTTCTTGCAGTGCATTGCTGCATTTTAAATCTGAGTTTGGATGTTGCCTTTTACATTTGGGAAAATTGTTTATTGAAACTTTTCAGGTTGCTTTTATGTATTGTTTATGAATGTTTATTGGACTTTAATCACTTTATTTTACTTTTTATTATCATGTCTGTTAGCTTCCTTGAGTATGCTGGGAATGGAATTGTGGGGTAGAAATTATAATGAATACATTTTAAGATAGCTATTTAAAATCAGTTTTTTTTAAACTGCTGTAGTCATGTCCCTTCTGAGTTTTAAATCAGAAAGATTTAATAAGAAAGTTCAGCATGTTTTCTCTTTCTCATTGCAATTTGTATTATTTGCAGAAGTGAAAGGTAGGAACTGTGATCAGCTGAATCAAATGTATTTAAGAATTTTGGCAGCTATTTAAACTTCCTCTAATTTAAGCAGGAAATTCAGCAAGTTATAGCCAAAATATACCATGAGGAACAATTTGTGGTTTTTCTTTTTTTTCTTTTTTTTTTTGAGGTAGACTAGAATATTGAATCCTTTTATTTAATGTTGTGAATGACCAAGTATTGTTAAAATATGTACATCACCTTTAATCAAAAACAACTTTCTGTGTCTAATTGTAGAGTAGTACACATAGGATGTTGACTGACAGATTTGGAGATACACCAAACATTCTTGCTTCTAAATTATTATTTCTTAAACACTACATTTAGCAAGTCTGGTTTTCCACTAAGCTCATAGTACAGATGTCAGAATAATCAAATTGTAACATCAATTGTGTTTCTTTCAAAAATAAAAATGAAGCCTAATTACTATCTATTCCCTGGACTTATACCAATCAATCCGTCTGTTCAGTAATACTGATCTTTCTTTAGCAAAGCTGCAAGATTGTAGGATGATCGCCAAAACAAAAATAATGTTATATGAATTAAATCCTGAATACAGTAATGTTGTACTTATTACTAAACATTTTAAACAATGAAAGTCAATTCTTTAAATGATTCAGCTATTATGTTCCATTCCTGTAGAACTGGTGTTTTAATAGTTTTAACTGCTGCTATGATTTCAATTCTTTGCATTCTGTCGGATATCTTAATTTTATAATGCTCAAGACAAAACCAGATTGTTTTGACACTGTAGGAATAAAACTATTATAAAAGTGAATTTCTCATCACAGGCTATAAAATCCAATACTAATAAATTAGTAATATAATTATTCAGTGCTTTTTATGACACAAACAAAATTTGCTTTGTAAGGCCATTTCCCCATACTGTCTAATAATAAGAGTAAGAACATTAAGTATTATTCAGTATTTATAGTGTAATAATTTATTGATATATAGTTAGAATCTTGAAGCTGATAGAATACTGCTTTATAAGGGTTACAAATAAATAAAAAGATGCCAATAATCTAATCTTCCCTTCCCTTCCTTTTCCTTTCCTTTCCTTTCCTTTCCTTTCCTTTCCTTTCCTTTCCTTTCCTTTCCTTTCCTTCCCTTTCCTTTCCTTTCCTTTCCTTCCCTTTCCTTCCCTTCCCTTCCCTTCCCTTCCCTTCCTTTTCCTTTCCTTTCCTTTCCTTCCCTTCCCTTCCCTTTCTTTTCCTTTCCTTTCTTCCCTTCCCTTCCCTTCCCTTCCCTTTCTTTTCCTTTCCTTTCCTTTCCTTCCCTTCCCTTCCCTTCCCTTTCTTTTCCTTTCCTTCCCTTCCCTTCCCTTCCCTTCCCTTCCCTTCCCTTCCCTTCCCTTCCCTTCCCTTCCCTTCCCTTTCCCTTTCCCTTTCCCTTTCTTGCAAAAGACAGGATATTTACAAGATTTTTCCCAGTACTTATATATCTATATGCGGTTGTTTTGGATTGTGTTGTTTATAATAATTATTGTTGTTGATGTATGCTGCCCTGGATCAGATGCTGAATAGAACAATCATATAAACATTAATAAATAATATTAGTTCTGGGGTAAAAGTCAACAAAGGTAAATCTGGTCTGGTTTCTTATTAGATTACACAGACAAACGGTGCATAGAATTTTGTGCTTCCACATTCTGTCATCCTATCTATCCAAATCTTCTTCTGATTTTTATAAGCTATCTCCCCAACCATTAATAAAGCCAAGGAACAGTATATAATGTTGTTGCTGAAAAGCAGAGGCAAATGATTCCCAAGACATGACAGGATACAATTTTATTACCCACTGAAAAATGTCTTGCAATATTGAAAACAGCCTTTCTCATATTGATGAATTCCAGATTTATTGGCATAGAATTGTCATAAAGTGCAGACAGTATGAAAAATGTCATGCTGGTTCGGATGATTTGATAAATTGATAAAACATTAGGTTGCAGAAGACTACTTTAAAGTATTATTCCATACCACAGTCCTATCAGTTACTATAATGTTCCTCTTTTAGAAACGAGGAAAATAAGCAGAGAGGTTCACTTTGTCCAGTCTCTTATAATGACATTCTAAGGGATTCTCAGACAAACACAAGTCCCCTTTTCTCGCTCTGTTTCCCTCTCAGACATAAGAACATATTTCTTCAGATGAATAATTATGCCATAACATCATTTTTCTTTTTTAGACTCCACTATTTCATAACACACATCAAATAGATGGCTGGAGAAAATTGTACTCTGATGGAAAACTTCATTCTTTTGGGATTCACAGACCATCTTGTCCTGAAAAACCTTCTCTTTGTGATCTTTTTGTTGATCTATATTATTACTGTTGTGGGAAATACTGTTATTATTTGGGTTGTGAAAATCAATTCTCACCTTCAAACCCCCATGTATTTCTTTCTCAGCAATTTGTCTTTCTTAGACCTCTGTTATTCTTTGGTTGTCACTCCCAAAATGCTTGTAAACTTCCTATCACGCAAAAAAATCATTTCATATACTGGGTGCATCTTGCAACTTTACTTTTATGCTGGTTTAGTAACTACAGAGTGTTACCTTTTGGCTGTGATGGCTTATGACCGATACTTGGCTATCTGTAACCCATTCATGTATACACACATCATGTCTCAAAGGATCTGTATCTCTTTGGTCGGCTTGTCATATCTGGCTGGATTCCTGAATGCTACAATCCAGACAGGATTCAGTTTACGAGTAATGTGTTGCAAAACCAATGTCATCGACCATTTCTTCTGTGATGGCCCCCCTCTGAGTTACCTTTACTGTTCTGATATTACACTCAATGAACTTTTGCAATTTATAATTGTTGGCTTTAATGTGGTCACTACTACATCATTGGTGTTTGTATCCTATTGCTGCATCCTCTT